AAGATTACAAAAGCACTTTTTTCAAGTGCACCATGGAATCTGGAATTTGTATTTCATGTTCACTTTCATACACATGCTATGTGGCGACTTTCTCTGACTCTGCAAATTGAAGGTTCCACCAACAATTTAGAACTTGAGAAGCCTAAGCTTTGTCATGACCTGGGTATTGTTATATGGCCCATCTGCAGGTGCTTATGGGTGACCATCATGAGATCATTCTCGCCACTACAAAGCAGCCAGCAAGCGGGAACTTGGAGGGAGCAGTGGAAGGTAAAAGTTAATCTGAGATGAGCGCAAGACTGACTGACGGGTGTGTCTGAAACCAGAGAGGAGCTCAGTCCTGTACCCTAGATAGCAAAGTCGGGAAGCATCACCCCTGCTGTGCAGTGGTCTGTGCGGTAAGGACAATTCTCCCAAGCTCTCCAAAGGCTTTCAGAACATTCCAATCCGTGGGGTGGTGGGGGAAGGTGTATTTTTAGAAAGCCCTAATATGTGCCGCATACCACAGACTCTCAAATTATCCCATCCAGCTTAGCCTTCAGTTTAAACCTTCCTTTTTAATTCCAGTAATTACAGGCTCCAATTTACGGAGCTGTGCACACAAAGGGCCTGTTTAATGCAAACCAGTTTGATTTGGGCAAAGTGTCCCAAGGATCTACCACATCTTACGGCCTGTTTATGCTGACTTGATGATTTATTTTCTCCCAGCAGGAGGTCAAAAAAATTTGCATTTTGTATCAGATTTCATTTGGAGGGCATAAATAGTGTTTTTCATTTTCCTTTCCTGTTTTACCACTTGTACAGTCAGCTTAGCTGAGCTAGCAAATCATACTGTTGGTGTCAGCCAGTCAGTATGTCTATCAGGGCTATAAATTCACTGCAAAGTGAAGCCTGTGTCATTGTGGGGTTAGAAACCCATGCTACAGCAAGACCTCAGCGGCAGCATGTGCTTATCATCCTCTAATCACATTTGTATGTCATGAAATACAGCTATAACTCAAACTGTGAATGTCTTAGTTTGCGGGTAGGCCTGTCGCCACTGATGGGAGCTGCTTGCTTACAAGGCTGATGCTGTTGTCAGTCAACTCTGTTCTCTCTTCCTCTGTTCGGATCTGTAGGGATTTTAGGACTGAGGAACCATTTTAAGCAGCTTAAAGCTTACAAATGATCATGCTTGGATGTGTCAAACATTTCTAATCTGCCACAGAGTACTGAACATTTGCAGTTAGGCGGACTAGTCTCTCCTCTGCTAGCCCTCTTTCTTTAAAGGGAACGTCGGTGGCAGAAGGAATATTATAGTGTTTCTAAAACACTTCGGTGCTAACAGTAGACTTGATTAATATAAGTATGAGGTGGATGCTGGGATTTCCAGCTTCATGCAGCACAGTAAATCACAGTTGGTGGCTAGATAAGATATGTTACTGCTATTTCTCGCCATTGATGCAAAAACTCCTGGTTCCCCCTGTCCCAAACCCTGCTTAGAGCTACATGAGGCCCATGACTACAGCAATGCCTCCACAGGTCAGCCAAGCACGTCAGGAGTCTTGTGTTACATATTTGAATCATTGTGGTATTTGTAAATACGCTCATTGCATGTTCCAGCTTGAGTATGGTAGACAATCTCAGCTCAGGCTTGTCTGCTTTTATGACCAGATGCAGAGGAAGCTGGTTTATGGCTTTCCCCTAATTACCATTACAAACTAGTTCATCAGGGGCACAGCAGACCAAGAGCCTCTCAGCCCAATGCCAAGGTAATGACAAACCTTGACAATGCTATCCTATCTCTGATTGTAATTGGTCAACATACGGGAAACTTGCAATGAAGTCAATGGTGAACTGGATTTAGTCTTGGTAATTTTATATCAAAATTTAACAACATGGCTCCAAAATCACTTTCCTTTTTAGCTGCCCTCATTTAGTTGGTGCTGGCAGGGAAAGTAATGTTAACCAAAATCCAAATAACTATTAAGCCATTTTTTTAGACAACGTTTGGTAAGGTTATTAGCCAATGATGTCTGACCCTACTGTTGTTGTTGTTTTTTTCTATTTGAATACTCTATTTGTCTCTAAAGTATGTTAAAGTAGGTTACAAATGCATGTTGTCTTGAGAAAGGAATGTAAATAAAGGTTGAGTAAGCATGGGCAGTGATGTACAGCTCAAATGGGTGGTATGTGAGTCAGTATCTCATTGAGCATGTGAGAACAAGCGATAGAGAGAAAGAAAGGGAGAATTAAGGAGAGAAGTCCCTGTGTGCAGTCGTGCCAGTCTAGGTTAAACACAGCCTGAGTTAGGCTCGCAGACACACAGGATAGGTGCCTAAATGGAATCAGGCCTGTTAGATTTATGGCCATTTGTTCAGAAAGTGTTCATCCATTGGCTATTATGGAATGATTAGAGTAGAAGGTGAAGCTCCAAGTCCGGTGAAAATCAATACGGCTGTCGAGAGCGTAAAAGTGATCAGTGATCTGTCTGACAGAACATCAGTTTTTCACAAGTACACTGTCTCTTTTAAAATACCGCATTTAGTACCACGTATCCATTCATTTTAATCTGTGGCAATAAGGGACATATGGACACATGGTCCAATCCAATGTAACAGTGAGGGATGGGCATTTCATCTGTGCTGATTTTCCCTCCCTCATTTAAACTTCCTCAAGTTACAAGAATGTCCTTAGAAACAGGGAAAAGGTGCATAGTTCAGCCTTTTAACAAAGACTCATGTCTGCGCAGTCAAAGTGGATTTGCTCTCCAGGATAATGTGCATGTGTGTATTTATCTACATCATTTTATTAAACCAAGATTATCCTTTGCTTTGAGCTCAGAGAAAGAGTAAGAAGAGAGAGTGGAGGTGTGGATTAACACAGTCCTGCACTTTCATAGCCCTGCCATTAAATCAACTCCAGAGTCTGTAAGCAGAGGCGCAAAAATAAAAAAGTTATTCAATCATTACCGGAGATCTAAAGAGCTCCCAAGCACAAATTACTGTAAATCAACTACAGGCATCTTTTCACAAAATAATTATATAAAAATTATATTCCTTGTTGAAGTCTGGCTCTTTCACCTTTGATTGGGAACAAATCAATGCAAACACCTTCCTGCTCAAAGTATTTGTATTTTTTGTATTTGTGTATTTTTAAGGAATGAAAATAAGTTGTGGGAGCCAAAGAAACTATATATTCAACAACACAAGCAAAAGGCATCTAAGAACAGCTTGGGGAAGACGCTAGAGGCTGAGATTTGGAGACCAGGAATGCATAGAAGCTGCTGCCTCAGTTCGCTGATCTTCAATCTGTCACTGCCCAGATTGAGAGCACCCGCTGAACCAGTATGGCTTTACACTAAATTAATTCAAGCAGCTCCTTTTATTTATTGGGGCAGCATGCGGCCTGCTCATTTCACCATTACCTTCAGCTTTTAGTGCAGGGACAGAAAGAGCTCTGGTAATCTCCTTTAAATCATTGTCAGGTCCACCACTCTGAAGAAAACTATTTCTATTTATAATGCTTTCTTTTAGTTTGTTGATTTTTTTACTCTTAAAAATGCTCTCTCTCTAGCAGTTTTTAGGGGTTTTATGCCTCTTATTGCCTTATTGTCTTTTGGGATTTGTTCAACCTCTCCTTTTTAGGACTCTTACAATGTGTATCGATTAAGAAAGACATTTTATTTTCAAAAACCTTTCATGTAAATACTTGTAATTCTGTCAGTTCTGCTTAGTATTCATGACCTCTTGAGCATATCTTGTAAGAAAATATTTGGAATATTTTGCTTATGCCAGTCGATAATAATGTTTAAGTACAACAGGAAAGATGTTTATGGAAAAAGCATTAATCTGAAAGAATTTACAAGTTCTAATTTGCAATAACCAAAAATGTTTTAATTATGATGTCCAGATCTCAGAGATGTAATTTGTCACTTATATGCAAATACACAAATGTGATATTTAGTAGTGTGAGACTTTAAATATATGAAAGTGCACTGAACATTCCAGATTATTTGTATAATGACACCACTATATGTTCATTGAACATTCCCTCACCAGAAAACCAACCAAATGACTACGAGAGGGAGGATAAAAAAGAATTAGTCACTGCAATCAATTCGTGTTTGTGTCTTTGAACTGGCAACATTTTGAAACAAGTCTGTGCAAATTGTGGGCCTATAGCTGGCATGCTAAATTCTACTATGCTGCTGAATTACCCTCACTGGGCCACTTTTCCTTCCTTTTTTGACTATGGTAAAGTATATAGCTGCAATTACAAAAGCAGGGGAAAAAGGAAAAGCTGGTATGCAGTGGTAGTTACATAGTATTGACATGAAAACAATGATGCTTAGTATGAGTCTAGAGGACAGGGCCATGTGGCACACTCCCCTGGCCCCAGCCAACTCCGTCACACTATCTTTCACAAGAAACAGAGGGGCAGCAAAAGGGGGAATTTCCCAGCCAAAGTGACCCAGATAGAGTGACACATAGAGGATGAGAAAAATAAACCGAAGCTTGAGTGTTAAGAAGATGTGTGTGCCTGTCTTTCCCACTCGCTCACTCCCTCTTTTTGTCTGTGTGCCTCTGTCTGCGTTGTGGAAGCTGAAATCTGCAAGTCTAGTAAGCACTACTTGAATATGCCAAAACCACATCCTCATAAATCTAATGTACACACACACATAAACAAAGTATTTTTCTTGTTTCAGGCATTAAACCATGCATGATGTCTGCATTAAGGAATCATGTCTTTATTTCAAGAAAGCTACATACTGAACATGTTGCCACAGATTTTGTTTTCATTATGCTATAAATCAGGTTTAATACCTGTCACTCAAGTCAATTCAATAGTGAAGAGTTCACCTTTCATAAAGCATGATGACTTCTTCTTCTAAGAGATAAGTGGCCCTTATCTCTTTGCATACAGACACTCGCTTCCCATCAAATACATTTCAGCCTTATATGTGCCTATTTTTTATTTCTCTCTCACTCACACACCTTATTTAAGAGAATGAGTGCATGTTAAACAAGGAAGGTGTGCCTGAAAGCTACAGGCACAGACAGAGCTGTCAGCATGAGGAAATAAAACATTTGTAGCCATGTGTTAGTATGGGTGGAGATAATGCAGCAAGAGGGGGGGGGCAGAAATTTAACATAGAATAAAAAAAAAATCACCCATATAAGATAAAAGTCAAATAGTTTTACTGGAAAGGCATGGTTTGAATAAACAGGAAAGGCTCTTATCTGTCATTGAGAAATTACAAATGTAAAAATTACAAATTAACAAAGAGACAGCTCTCAAATCCACATAAACTGCAATATGTGTTACCTGTAACTCATTAAACTCACCTAATGCTGGGGCCAGAGCCGCCATGTTGGGGTCGAGATGAAAACCTCCAAGCAAGAACTGGGCTTCAGCTCCAGATGGGTCCATCTTAAGGCCTGGTGGCAGGCTCATGTTTTGGGTCAAGTAGTATTGGTACAACTCAGCCTCTGAGGGTGAAGGCATGGCGCCTAGACCAAGCCGGCCATGCTGCATTTGGGTCATGTTCTGCTGAAGTAGCATCATGTTGTGCATGTGTTTCTCACTCGTCATGTGGATGCGCAGGTTACGTGCTACATTAGTCTCATAGTCACACACCTCACACCGCCAGGTGGGCTTGCTTTTTGGCTTGGTGGGTGAAGGGGCACCACAGGGCCCTGCCATGTGGGTGGAGGACTGGGCAGGATGATGGTGGTGACTAGGATGATGGCTGCTGGCCTGGGTAGCAGAAGAAACAGGCACCACCCCTCCAGGTGCATGCCCAAACACTTGTTCACCAGCGGTCGGAATAGTTCCTCCATTTTGTAACGTCTGCATGTTATTAAGATGCTTGTCAGACTGCATATGAATGCTTAGGTTTCCTTTGGTGGTAGTGGAATAGTTGCAGACCTCACAGCGGAAGGGTTTGTAGCCACAAGTGTAGCTCTCCCCACGGGCAAGGCGAGGGTGACTCTGTCCATTGCTGCAGTACACACAGGAGCTTCCAGAGTCAGGGTGCTTCTCCTTCATGTGGGCCTCCAAGGTCTGCTGGTATTTGTAGTGCCAGTTGCACTTGGGACACTTCAGTGTCTTGCACGAATTCCGCGAGTGCATCATGGTCATATGGCCACCCAGTGAGCGAGAGGAGCCTAGAACAGTGTCGCACTTCGGGCACTCCACTCCACTCCCTCCACTGCCCCCAGCCCCATGGTTCTGGGTGCACTCACTCATTCCTGACATGTCACAAGTAGCTGTGTGATGGAGGTGCATGTGAGCATTTGGTGAAGGGTGCGGGTGGTGGTGATGGTGGTGAAGGTGGTGGTGGTGGTGTAGGAGGGCACTGTTGTCCTCATCTCCTTCTGCTGGGCATTCATTTGGTTCAGGAGCTGTGGCACTATCTCGATTGGCACTTTCCTCAGCAGCAGCATTGGACGCAAGAGGGGAGGATGTGCTCGCAGAGGAACATGCGGCCTCATCCTCTTCGCCCCCTCTGCCGGTGACTGCTGCCATTGCCGTGGGGAGCGTAGACCCCTGGCAGTTAAAGCTCAGAGAGAGATCTGAAGTTCTCCCTCCACCGTCTGTAGCCATCCCGTCCTCTGACCCTCTGATAGAAGAGGAGGATATGGAAGCAGAGGCTTTGCTGCTGAGTGCGGGGCTGGCTGCAGAGAGACAAGCAGAAGGCTGGAGAGCGCTACTAGGCATTAATAAAGGAGTTTTGGAGATGCTTTGGTTTGAGACAGCCGGTTCCCCCACAAATACGCCACTGCTGCTGCTACTTCCACTACAGGCCACCACAGTGCCTTCGTCCTCTACCTCTTCATCCTCTTCTTCTAAAAGAAGCTCATCCTCTTCCTCTGAGGCCATCTCCTCACCGTGAAGGAGAGCCTTTCTTTCACAGATTTCTGCATCCCCATCCTCCCCTCTATGAGTCCCCTCTTTCCCCACAGACCCCTCTGTTCTCCTACCCTGCTTGGACAGAGTGTTGGAGTCTTTGGCTGGGCCTGGGGTTGAGGTAAGGGAAGGCTTGGGGCTGCCAAGACCCCCCAACGTGAGGAGGGCTTGTTGCTGGAGACCCGAGTCAGAGTCTTTGTTGAGGAGGCTCTCACCTCCCTGACTACTGCTGCCCCCTTCTAAATGAACCCCACTGAACGTGCCGTAGAAGCTCTGGCCTGAGTTCATGGGTACCAGGGTAGGCGGTGGAGGAGGGTTTTTATTTTTTGGTTCTAGGAAGCTAATGAGTGGTTCTTTGTCTTTTCCAATGCCCTGTATAATCGCCGATGCATGCTTGTGGCCTAAGAGCCTGCGCTCGTCCTCACATAGGGTCATGCGATGGTCATGGACTGCATGAGTGACAAAGGAGCGTGCGTAGCCAAAAGACAACTTGCAGAGGAAACACATGAGGATGGGCTTGCCTTTGCCATAAAGGGCCAGGCCATCAAATTTGGAGAAATCCACGTTGTTGGGAACATCTTTGGATACGCAGGACTTCTTGGCAGACCCGTCGCTGTTCAGGTAATCCTTGTTGCTTTTGTGCCGCACATCAAAGACGCGGAAACTGTGCAGGACAGGACTTAGGCCTGCCAGGGTTGAGGTATTGGGGAAACCTTGGTTTGAGGAGCCGAACCATTTTCCGAAAGACGAGGCTATATGAAACGTGTTGATGATCTGAGGGTACACCGAAGAAGAGGTCCCCACAGGTTCCTCTGGTTTTCCCCCACTGGGGAGAGAGTTTGAGGGGAGCAAGCCTGGTTCCATGCTCCCATCGCTTTGGATCAGCTGGCTGAGACTCTCCACAATGTAGGCAGAGCCATCAGGCTGGTAGACTATCTCTCCAGCCAGGTTTTCCACGTCACTACTCTCCTCTTCCTCCTCTTCCTCTCCTTCTTCGCTCCCACTCTCTGTGGCTCCCCTCCGATGGGAGGGCTGTTGCCGCATGAGCATGGGCATGCCCCCTCCACTTGGCACCATAGGTACACCAGAGAAGGGCTGCAGACTAGGGAAACAGCTGTCAATCTCCATTTCATTCAATTCTTCCAAGTTTTCGTCCTCTTCTCCACAGCTAACTCCCTCCTGCTCCTCTTCCTCTAACGCCTCTCTTTTGGGGTGCAGCTGTCTGGTAGTGGAATTATCACCGTGAACCTGTGACAGTGTTTGCTGCTTCTGTTCTCTTACAGCCGCGCAGGGTGTGCTGGGATTCTGGAGCTGGGCTGAGTGGGGTGCAGAGAGAGACAGGGGCTCCAAGGAAGGGTTGCAAGGTGGGACCTGTGCGTTAGGGTGATCGTTCCAGGGTTGTGGATGGTGATGCTGCTGGGAGGTGGCAGAGGAGCCAAGCCCATCGTCTGTCCCAGAAACCACGGGAGACTCACAGCTTTCCATGCTGATGCCTACATGAGGCGTTCATCGCATCCAAGCCTGAAGAGAAAAAAGAGAGAAAGAGACAGGTTTAAACTACTGCTTGAAATGTATAATGTCTCAGAACATAAGAAAAGTACATAATATACATCTTTAATGCGTTCTTTTCATTGTTTCTATTCAAGCTAATTTTCAGATGAACATTCAACCAGACATACAAAGCATCTTGATAAATGGTGAAGCCATGTACATGTATAGTGAGTGGGGAGCAGCTTAATGTATAGTAGATTAGATGAGAAACAAAAGTGTGAGATATAATGGTGGAAAATGACAGAGTGCTCATTAGGTTAGATTAGGTACTTAAACACAATACCTCAGACAAGCACTAATAAGGCAGCTCAGATGCCTCATCCTGTCATATCAGCCAGTTACTATCTTTTATCTAGACCTTCCACACAACACCCGGAGTCTGCTATGTTCCAAATCCTGCATACATTTTTTTTTAATTAACGTTGAGTCTGAGAAACACAGTAACAGAATAACTTAATGGATAAAAAGCTCCATTGTGCTGCTAATTAGACACAGTGAAACCCGCCATCAGCACATGATCCATCTCACACCCGAAGAAAGAACTGAAGGTTACAAAAATATATTAGCCATGCTGTTTTAGGACCTCCATTATAGAGAGATCCCACACACAGAACACACTGCACTAACAGATCACGCCCGTAAGATGCATTTAGTGGATGCGTATATGCTTTTTACAGCAAGTATTTATATTTATGTACATAAATACACACAACATAGAAAGAAAGATTTGTTTATATTGTTTTTTAAGCTTAAAATACGACAGCAATGCTGGTACTCTAAATGCTGTGTATAGATCTAGCATCCAATAACCTGCGCGCTTAGCCTGGTTTTAAACACTCCTCTGCCTCTGAAATAATAAATGAGAGCCGAACTTTCTAAAGGGAAGTGCTGCCCCGAGCAACGAAAGAGCCATGAGCAGGCCACAATTTCAAGCAGGCGATAAAGAAGATAAAATGATAGCGAGAGATACTGCTGAGCTAATAATTTTAATAAAGGGATGCAGGCAGCATTGATTAAAGGGGGCAACCGGACTGAGACCAATAACTCTGGCCTGGCCTTTCACCCTCCATTGCTGAATATTACATGAGCAAAGTTTCCCGGCAGCACGCTAACCACCGCGTTCTGCCTGATTAGCACATTCGCTGCCTCTACTTGATTTATTTACTTATTTACTTAGGGATGCAAATTTCAGCAGTGATCAGACACTGTGTCTGCAGCCCCACCCCCACCAAATGTATTAACATGAGAGCGTTTGGCTGAGGAGATTGATAATGTTTGACTCCCTCTTCATGAATGTCTGATGAAAATTTGACACCCCTCAAGTCCAACCCACAAAGCCACCCCCTCCCTCCCCCACCCATGTCAAACAATGACCATGTTTTTTTTGTGTATGTTTAACTGCTATTATGTATTTTGCTAATTGTAATTGTATAATTCTACTTACATTTCTACAAAATTAACTTCAGAATTACAGTACTAATAATGTGTACTTTGTCTAATTAAACAGACACCCAATAAATAATGAGGTTATTATTGACTATTAAAACATGAAGATTAAGTACACTGACAGTTAGTTTTAAATGGTTAAAGTGTTTCTTTATCAGTCCAATACAAAATAATGAAGTGTTGCACTATTAAAATGTCAATCAGCAACAATACGTTTACATTCAACAACTGACAGAAGTCCAAAAATAACATTCCGGTAACCTGTTCCTATTATGCATCCCTCAGCACTGCTGCAGCATTATGGAATTGTATGTAATAGAAGGAGTAGAGAACTACTTAAACTGTTAAACAAAACGGCTAAAAGATTATGACTCAGGCAATCACAAATGGGCATTCTTGAAAATCTGCCATGATACGCTTTTCATTTAAAGCAAATGAGATGGCTTCCAGTGCTAGAGAGTGGCGGCCCAAGCCGTCTGGGCGCGTCTGCTGCTTACAGAAAACAGGATTGCCCTTTAAAATGGAGATGGTCTAATTCAATAACCTGCAGTGGTTACTGATGTGCAATATGATTGTCTGGAGTCTGCCAGTCGCAGATGGGCGGGCAGATATAATGTAGTTTGTCTGCTCAAGGTCTGCTTCCGAAGCGACACCTGTTTAAAGAAGGGAATCTACTACACATGCAGATGCATACAGCAAACACATATTAGGCATTTCTCTCACAGAGTCAAACACTCCATAAAAATATGTATAAAACATAATTGCTTCCTTTATATCTTTTATATACACATTCTGTCATCAAGGCCTCATCTTCATTAAGCAACCCTCTCCATGAAGCTGTGAATCAGGAATTCAAGTGTTTCTTAGAGGGACACAGAAACTCTTCACAACTCAAATTAAGCACAATAGAAAACATTCCCTCTTAACCTGCCAAACAAAGTAGATAAGGTTTCTAACGATAAAAAAAAAAGCACAGTACATAATGAACACTGTCAGAAGCTGGGTCTGGATGTCATTTAGAGAGGATAGAAAATTAGATCAGTTTTTATTTATGGGCCTTTTCATTTGGTGGGATTTACTGGCTGAGCAAAGAGGGAATTAAAGGCTAAGGACCCATCTGATTATAAACACGCAAAATCACCTGCCCAGGGGCCATGCCTCCAGAGGCCCAGTGCTCCCTACCCTCTCCTGGGGAATTAACTCCTGCTCGGCCCCAGCTGAGAACCGCCACGGGGTGCGGCCTGACCCCCACGCCCCACCCCCAGCACCCCTCAATACGTAGAGAACATATCCTTCCAGAGACTTTCAGAGGAAGAAAAAGGCTTCATCATCACCTCCCTGTGGTCTGCAGCAAGCCCCGCTTTTCTTTTCCCATCTCCCGCCAGATCTAGCCATCGCACAGGCTGGCCACTACAGGGCTAGGGCGCTTATTGAAAAATCAATGGCATAAATACTAGGCAAGTTACAGGAAGATGTGGGAAGGGAAGGTTCCTATTGATAAAGCAGGGAGGGCCTCCTAATATTGCACAACGGGATGTATTCATTGAAGCTGGGTGAGAAGGCTTCATCGTTGAAGTATGGCCAATTAAATCGCAAATATATGTAGAGAAACTGTTCACACCACTACTGCATTATCAATCTTAATGCTAAAATTTTGCTTTTTTAAAAATAAAACAGAAACTACAACTTAAACATAACCACTGAGCAGACAAAATATTTATTGTGTCAGTATGTAGATGACACTACATGTAGCGCAATACATGTGCAAAACACATGCAGTATTTATGTAAGGACAATGAGGAAGATTTCTGCAGCAGTGCTCTTTATTCATATTATTTTCATAAAACATTGTCTTATCCTCCTCCCACCGTGTGTCTCAGCCAATCAAAGCAAAGAATCCAAAAGTATAGTTATTCAATAGATACAATTATGAATAATACATATACACATAATAAATATAATTTAAAAATCTAAATAAATAAATATTTTCCAAACAATGTGTTGATTGTTGTTGATTTGAAAGTCTTGAATAATATAATATAACATAATATATAATACGCATGCTAAAATGTTGATAAAAACCACAATTACAGACAATTAAAGACAATTATTCAAAATAAATATGTATTTATTATTATTATTAAAATGCCTAATTTGTTAAATGATTAATAACATCAGTGACAGAATGTCATGACTCATATAATTCAAAAGCACTTCTGCAGAAGTTCCACACTGGGTATTTTGAGATGTCACCTATTCGATTTCAGTTTTATTAGCGTGCAAAGGTAAACAGAGAGGACTGAAAAATTCCCCCACCTCCTTTTCCTCGTCCTGAACGTTTAATGTAGACACAGCGACACTTCAGAGGAGTTGCTGTGTCAGAAGGCAAAAAGTCACCTCAGGTCGATGGCACTCTGGCTGTAAACACTGCTTCCCGTAAAATCAATGATCTTTAGTTCAAGCTATCAGTCTGTGCAACAGAAATAGCAGCGGCTGTGATGAGACTGAGGCTGTGGAGAGAGGGAGGAAAAGCGATAGAGAAGGAAAGAGAGATCAGTGCAGCATGGCTGTGGGTAAGGGATGAAAGAACATAGCTATCCGCTGCTACTGCCAACGCGGTGTTGAAAACGGGACTAAATGCCGGTTCCTAGCATGCATCACTCCCAGAGCCACAGCCATTAGTGAGTGAGGCCCAAGCACTCTACCTGCATGCTGACATTAGTTAATAGATTATGTTTGTTGTGGAAATGGGAGGTACTCCTCTGTGACTTTATGTAACAGTAAACATCTGCAAACTCATCTGTTACTAATTGGTCTCTGGCCTGAACACAAACGAATTGATTCCGAGGTATCAATAGCGTTCTCTGTTTTAGGGGCTGAAACTGAATCTTGGTGATAATTTTTGCTCTCGGGTAACAGCATAAGATCTGTAAACGCAATCAATGTAGCAAAACAAAGGGAGCATAAAAATGTTTTCCTGACAAAGCGTGTGATGCAACGTCAGGCTGCTTTTAGCGCCATTTATTCCGCCGATGAAATCTGGAGCGAGTTCAAAGGCAGCTGAAGGGGAATCCACGCACTGGCAAAGTGTCTCATCACTTTTGGTGAGTGCGAAAGAAACAGGCTCCTCAGTGTAATTAGGAGTGGTTAATTAGCTGTGGGTTAATTACTCAGTTCGGAGGGGAAAACTGGCAAAAAAGAGCTGGTAGGGTGGTAGAGCGAGGGGAAAGTGGCGAACACACAGCAGGAAGCTCCCAGTCTCCTGCCAATTAGCAGGCAGCATGGGGGGCTGGTGGAGGAACGGGGCCGCAAGTACAAATGAGCTTCACACAAGCCCACTTGCAGCCACAGAGCTAATACCATACTCAACATATCCACATTCCCCTATTAAAAATGCATACTGTTGGAGATTCTCCACTCACTGTTGTTTTTGGTAAGCGCTTCCATTTGCCCAACAGCCTCTCATTTCTTCTCGATCGTATGCAAAGACTAAAAGAAGCTCTTTTTCTCTCTAGAAAATCCAATACCATATTAATATATTACAGGTATATTATAGTGTAGGAATATTTGAATAAGTCAAAAATATACCTAAATAAAATGAACCACATTAAAATGTGACCATGGACCACAAAACCAGTCATAAGGGTCAATATAATCTGAAAGCTGGGTAAATAAGCTTTCCACTGATGTATGGTTTGTTAGGATAGGACAATATTTGGCCGAGATACACCTATTTAAAAATCTGGAATCTGCGGGTGCAAAAAAAACAACAACAAAAAACAAGTTGTCCAAATGAAGTTCTTAGCAATGCATATTACTAATCAAAAATTACGTTTTGATATATTTATGGTAGGAAATTTACAAAATATCTTCATGGAACATTACTTAATATCCTAATGATTTTTGGCACAAAAGAAAAATATATCATTTTGACCCATACAATGTATTGTTGGCTATTACTACAAATATACCTGTACTACTTATGACTGGTTTTGTGGTCCAGCAGGGTCACACATAAGATGAAATAAGGGGAGGATGTCGTTTCTAGAACAGTAAAATAATTCTTGTTTGACCCCCGCATGCTGTCTTTTTTCCACTCTTTTCTTAACAAATCTTACAGTAAAGTAATAGCACATTATTTGCCTCCACCTTCCCCAGTGGTTGGTTCAGATAAAGCTTTGTGTTTTGTAAGTGCATAAATTATCCCAGGGATAAAGGTATTGATGTATAATCAGAGATGGGTGATCATGTTCGTGCTGCAAAAAGCCCTCCATTCACCCCCAGGCACATTGAGTGTGCACAGCATGCTCCACAACACAGGAGGGAGGAGTGGAGAGAGCCTACTTACTTCTCAGAAAGAGAGCGAGAGAGACAGAGAGAGAGTGCATTTTACCTCTCGTGAAGAATGTTGTATCTTCATGTGCTTGCCTGTACACTTTGCATTTGTGAACTAGATCAATTCTAACAAACAATTAATTACAGGTTGTTTTCTCCACACGCATACTGAAGGCATGTTTAAGATGTGCTCACTGCGAACCCAACAGATGAGTTTTACCACAAAGCATTCTGACTTGAAACTTGCATGTTCAAAGGTAGAGCGAGAGTTGGTCTGACAACAAAAACACACAAACCATAAGAATATCAGACTGCATTTCCAATAAAGGGTTACGTGGGTGTGTGTGACTATGCTATGCTTTAACAACAAATTTGGTAAAAAAAAATAGCTTAGTCAGATCTTAGTCAAATCCAAGAAAATCCATTTACCTAGCTATCTAGATGGGGACTTATCCTTTACCTCTGTGGTTTTAAAACACTCATCTCTTACTAAGCCTTGGGTTAAATTCCAAATATAGGATAAAAAAAAACTTATTTTGCTTTAAGATTTTTTATTTGCTTTATTTATTATTTCTGAGTTTTGTATGTTAAATTTGATGGTAATTTTGCCATCACAGTTTTTAGTTAAAATTGTTTAGTTTTAAAATAAATATATTACTGTAACTAAAATATATTGTAATATATTGCAAACATATGTAGAGTACCATATACAGTATATACATATATATATATATATATATATATATATATATTTTTTTTTTTTTTTTTTATTTTTTTTTTATCCTAAATTTGCAGTTGGTTAGGGTTAGTATATATTAATTTAATACTACATTTAACCCTAGGATTAGTAAGAGACGAGTAATTTAAAAACCACAGAAGTCAAGGATAAGTCCCCGTTTAGATATCTAGGTAAACATGTGTGAGTGTGTGCGCATATGTGTGTGTGTGTGTGTGTGTGTGTGTTTCAAAGGCAGCCAGGCCCAAAGGCTTTCATTTTCATTAATTATCAAATCTCCTCTATTAATAGCTCAAGGAAGCGGCTCTCTCCTCTCTCGTGAGGGAGTGAGACAGAACGAGAGAGACAGACAGATAGAGAAAACATAAAAGCGAGTGTGGAAGGTTAGAAGAGAAATATGCAAACTACAGAGTTTTTTTTTTTCTTGAAGCACCACACTTATCTGTCTTGTGCAAAAGAGGATGGTTGACTGGGTCAGATAAAGAGATTGAGCTCTGTCAACATTTACACAATGAGACCACCATCCTCTATGCTTCCCCCCGACTCCCTCATGACACCACTGATTTATTATACATATAAGAAATATTACATTTCATCTACTATAAGGAGTTTGGCCCTCTGAGTCAACCCACTCCCCCCCGCTTCCTCAATCACTTCCACCTCAACTTCCTGATGTCCAAACGCCGCCCCCCCATACGTACCCTCACTGTTTCATCTCTCCTCTCACTGAGGCTGCAGTTAAGGCAAGTCGACCGCAAACACGGTTGTTAAGATGATCAATACCATTGAAATATTAAACCTTAAAAAGCTGCATTATTGATTGTAAGGCCGATGATAAAACTGTTCATTATCATAATCGCTGAAGCTCCATGTAAACGCTTGAGAGAGGGACCTCAGCTGCACACCGCACTGGGACACTGGATTTGAGGTCTATATAAGACCCGTAGTTGTATTTTTCCACCCTGAGGGAAAGTCATGAAGGATTATTCGTGAGTAACAGCACAATATGCTCTTCAACTACATGTTGAGCACCTGAGCTTTAACTCAGGAATCAGCATCAGGCAGGCTGAATAGAGCTTGGATAACCCACCTCTAATCCAAGGCCTTTTTAACTAATCTGGAAAACAAATACCTCAGTAATGACTCAGTCCTGCACCTGGTAAAACAGAGCGACGGGAGAGACAGCACCTGGAATTAGCCAAATATCCCAAGTAGGGCACAGACACTCTTTTAGTGCTTCGCTGAAACAAATCCAAGCTATCAGGTGTCCTGAAAGTGACGAGAATCATAACGCAAGAGGAGACAGGCTTACTCTTGGGCTTAACACTCGGTGTCAACAAGTGTAAAACTCACAAACGTTCCAATAACTTGCATGCCAGGGCACTTAAAAGTTACAGGCGAGCAAATGTGGCACAGAAAACACTGAGAGGTTTCAAGGCTGCCAGGCAGAGGAGTCACGGCGGGGCCTAGTGTTTTGTTAAACATTTAAACCCGAGGAGTGCGATACGATCCTTCTGGATGGCACGGGAGGGCAGACTACGGAGGAAACCTGAGCGAAGTGGGCGACAGCTGTTCTGGGTTTAGGAGGCAGAAAAGCAGTAACAGGGAGGAGAAGATGCAATCTCCTACATGTCCTGCCCTGACCGTGGGTATTCAAATAACGGCTGAGGATCTAATACCGGCGCAAAGGCAAGCACGCTCGCACAAACAAGGGGGAATAAAGAGCGTCCAAGTGAAACCATTCTGTGGAAGTGATTTCTTCCCTCTAATTCTTCAGCGGGATATCCTGGATAAATAATTAGAGGCCTTCTTTGAAGACCCTACACTGCATCTCCATTCACTCTCCACTTCACATTTGCTAAAGTCATTAATGACAAAGATTTGGAAAGAAAGTACGAACTTTTTCTCTGGTACACAAATACTTCTTTTATGAGTTCTGGACCAAATTCCTCTCTGCTTAGTTAAATCTCTTATCCTGGGAAAGAGCCGTGCTTGCTTTAAGCAATAAACCTCAAGGGAGGATGGCTTTCTACTGCACCCACCATCCGCCCCCGACCCCCTTTAAAGAATTATGGAGTGTTAATAAAGTACAAGGAATAATGTGTTCTTTGGAGAAACAGAGGGAAGCAAAGCCAGAGTGTTGTTGGTGTTGAACATCCGGACATTTAAAAAACCAAAGAGAACGAGGCAGAGCAAACAAATTACAGTTAAAAACATTTTTTTCAGGCTGCTCTCATAGCATAAGCTAGAGACAGAACGAGAGAGACAGACAGATAGAGAAAACATAAAAGCGAGTGTGGAAGGTTAGAAGAGAAATATGCAAACTACAGAGTTTTTTTTTTTCTTGAAGCACCACACTTATCTGTCTTGTGCAAAAGAGGATGGTTGACTGGGTCAGATAAAGAGATTGAGCTCTGTCAACATTTACACAATGAGACCACCATCCTCTATGCTTCCCCCCCGACTCCCTCATGACACCACTGATTTATTATACATATAAGAAATATTACATTTCATCTACTATAAGGAGTTTGGCCCTCTGAGTCAACCCACTCCCCCCCGCTTCCTCAATCACTTCCACCTCAACTTCCTGATGTCCAAACGCCGCCCCCCCATACGTACCCTCACTGTTTCATCTCTCCTCTCACTGAGGCTGCAGTTAAGGCAAGTCGACCGCAAACACGGTTGTTAAGATGATCAATACCATTGAAATATTAAACCTTAAAAAGCTGCATTATTGATTGTAAGGCCGATGATAAAACTGTTCATTATCATAATCGCTGAAGCTCCATGTAAACGCTTGAGAGAGGGACCTCAGCTGCACACCGCACTGGGACACTGGATTTGAGGTCTATATAAGACCCGTAGTTGTATTTTTCCACCCTGAGGGAAAGTCATGAAGGATTATTCGTGAGTAACAGCACAATATGCTCTTCAACTACATGTTGAGCACCTGAGCTTTAACTCAGGAATCAGCATCAGGCAGGCTGAATAGAGCTTGGATAACCCACCTCTAATCCAAGGCCTTTTTAACTAATCTGGAAAACAAATACCTCAGTAATGACTCAGTCCTGCACCTGGTAAAACAGAGCGACGGGAGAGACAGCACCTGGAATTAGCCAAATATCCCAAGTAGGGCACAGACACTCTTTTAGTGCTCCTAATCCAAGGCCTTTTTAACTAATCTGGAAAACAAATACCTCAGTAATGACTCAGTCCTGCACCTGGTAAAACAGAGCGACGGGAGAGACAGCACCTGGAATTAGCCAAATATCCCAAGTAGGGCACAGACACTCTTTTAGTGCTTCGCTGAAACAAATCCAAGCTATCAGGTGTCCTGAAAGTGACGAGAATCATAACGCAAGAGGAGGCTTACTCTTGGGCTTAACACTCGGTGTCAACAAGTGTAAAACTCACAAACGGTCCAATAACTTGCATGCCCGGGCTCTAAAAGTTACAGGCTAGCAAAGGTGGCTTTGAAACACCGAGAGCTTTCAAGGCTGCCAGGCAGAGGAGTCACGGCGGGGCCTAGTGTTTTGTTAAACATTTAAACCCGAGGAGTGCGATACGATCCTTCTGGATGGCACGGGAGGGCAGACTACGGAGGAAACCTGAGCGAAGTGGGCGACAGCTGTTCTGGGTTTAGGAG